GGCATCGCACAGCGCCGGCGTTAGACCAAACCAAGGTCAAACGTGAAGGCAGGGCGGGAGGATTTCTGCCACAACTCGCCTCAGGCAGCAGCCGAGGCCCCCGCGCAGCCATTGCTCTCGCCACACCACCAGGACCAGGGTGAGGAGTTGGTATTTCCTGTAAAACACACGAATGAGGTCATCACCAACACGAGTGCAAACTTTTCCCAGTTATTTTTAGCAGCTCCCGAGTGTTGCCCTAACACAAACTGTAAGGTTGTATTAGAAGTGGTTTCGGTTGAAGCTTTAGCGCAATACGCTTTTTTCCAGCACTACGTACAATTCACTTGCGGTTTCAGTTCCACTTCCCTGAAGTCGCCCCAGTTCTGACTTGGTTTCCCAAGCCCTTCGTCTCTGTAAAGTCAAACTCATCAACGTTAGCAGATGAAAGCTTTATTTCCAGTAAATCCCGAGTGAGCTTTCTATCCCCCTGACACCACCTTCTGCAGCAACTGCCGACAACGTTCCCAAGGTTTCTCTCCCTGGGAATTACGCAAAGTTTCGCCTACCCAACTGGTATGAAGCTCACACTCAGTAACAAGTTACAACACCGGAGGACAGGCCTGGGCTGGAGCTGTGATGACAACCAGAATCCTCAGACAGCTGGGAAATTCGATCACCCAATTCTGAATGCATTTATGGGAACATTTATAGAATCATGGAATGGTTTGGGTTGGAAGGGACCTTAATTCCCATCCAATCCCACCACCAGCCATGGGCAGGAACACCTTCGCCATGGGCAGGAACACCTTCCACAGCTCAGTTTGCCCCAAGCCTCATCCAGCCCGGCCTTGGACACTCCCAGGGATGGGGCATCCACAGCTTCTCTGGGCAACCTGTCCCAGTGCCTCCCTCCCCACTTTCAATTTAACCCCATTATCCCTTGTCCTGGCACTACAGGCCCTTTATTGGCTATTCCAATTTACTTGATTAATATGGCAGTTCAGAGTTAGGCAGTTGTTTCTTTTTTTTTTTTAAAGAGCTTTTCCCATTATTAAGCAAATAAATCTAAAATACAGGAAAAGGTTTACTGGAAACAAGATATTTTCAAAGGAAACCAATGGCTACCCATCATCTGTAGGAAATAATGGGCCCAAGTCCTGTCTTACCCAGAAGCCGTTAGTGGGTTCACGCACAGCGCCGCGGTGTTAGATGGACACCGATCGCATCCTCGCTGGTGCTAAACTGTATCTTTTACGAATGTTTCAAGAAATCCCCTGGTTAGTTTTGGTCAGCGGAGATTATCCAGCGTCAGATCTCAAATGCCACCCAAGTTTCTATTTCCTCACCTCCCCACAAAGCCTGACACGTTCCCTCCAGAGGGGAAACCCCCCTCACCTCTTGCTGGGAATCTCGGAGATTTAAGAGTCCACAAAGCTCTGAATTCCAGTCCCAAAGGACACATATCAATCCAGACATCGAATAATGAGCATTTAATACTACAGTAAAATCTTAGATGTTGGTAGGTCACGCTTAAAACTGCATCCAGCTCATCCTCAAGGAGCGGGCTCGCTTCCCAGATGATTTCAGAAGCCAATGGCCGGCTGCTGCGGGGACAGGACACCTCCTCTCCGGCCCCGGCCGCACTGGGCGCTCGGCTCTCTCGCATTCCCAGCACCAAGTGCCGTACCGCAGTCGCAAACACCTCCAGGTTCTCCCTCTGAGCGGGATGAATGCACACCCACGTGTGCTCCCCTGGAACAAATCCTCCCGTGGCACCGCGGATGAAGAACCGGGCAAGCGGTCAGGCATCAACGTTTATTAACACAAGACCAAGGAAACACAGTCGGTGCGTTAATGGAACACTCTCCAGCCAGGTGTTAAATTTAAAAACGTCTCTCTAATCTAAATTTAAATAAATAAAAACTTTATACATAATTACATGATGCTGTAGCCTGAATTTGACCGTGGGGAAGAGGTTGACAGAAATGAAAGAAAAATTGCATCTAGGGCTAAAATCTCTCTCCTTTTCACATCCTTCTTTGCAGGACGGTTAGTACGACACATCCCAATTACACGTATTTAAGTCAGAAACGCAGTGCAAATTTTAACCAAACCAGGACTTGAAGCAACCTGCACTCACACGTTTTGCTCTGGGAACATCCACCAACGGCAAGACCAACGGAATATTTGAGCTCAAAGCGTGAAGAGTTCCCAGTTTTCAGTTTCACTGCAGCTGCCAGGCTCGGAATCTGACGGGCGACAGTAGGACATAACCTGCCTTCTGCAACTGCATCAGCTGCAAAGCCAAACTGGCGGGAAGAGGCTGCCTCCTGGGACTCAGCGCTCGATCCCGCCGTTACGGAGACGCTCCCAACTCTGAACCTGCGACACCCGCGACCCTGCCGACTTTCTGGAGTATCTCAGTCCATTCCCATATGGGAAGAAACCAAGGAACTGGTGTAAAGCAGAACAGTCCCACCTTCTGACAGCCAAATAATCAAGAACAAACCGACCCCGTCTCAGAGGCGCTAGCCGTGAGGAATCCTTCGTGCTGCACAGGCAGGAATGGGGACGGTGCAAGGATCAGACCGTGCCCTCAGCTACTGGTGAAGGAACCGAAGGGGTGAAACAACCTCTCAAAGGCCCTGTGGCAAGTCAGTAGCAGAGCTGGAGTTCGAATTCGGGGTTTCCGGATTCACAGCTCCGCCCTTCCACCTCTCCAGCTTTCCACCATGCCGGAGAGGGAGAAAAGCGTTCAGTGAAGTCAAAGCTGGCCAGCTGCTGCGTGTCACTCACTGGGATCGGGAATGGAATGTCAGCTCATTCCATGGGCAGGACTGTAGCTCGCAGCTCTCCGACCCAGAGAACTGTAACGTGCCAGCATGGAGTGTCTGCAGTACACGTGGACGATAAAGCCCCAAACCTGGAGCAGCTATCAATACCTATCCACACAAAGAACTAGGGAAAAATCCAAACAATCCAGTATGTCATCCAAAACTGCCATTTCAGAGTCCATCTGCCACATACTGGGCATCTGATCAAATCAATGCACCCTTTTTATTTCCGAGCAGCTGTCGGTAAAAATAAAAGAGAGTCCTGGAATTGGACTCAAAATCCACGGCCGTGGACCAGTAAAAAGTATTTGTTGAAACAATTTATCTAAAGCCTTAATTTGAGTAAGAAAAGGTTAATTTTTTGAGTAATTTGAGTTAAAAAAACCCACATCCGAGATCTTTTCCTGAAAGGGGCAGCAGTGAAGCTGCGCTGCAGGCCACTGCGCTCTGCAAAGGAAGAGAAACTGAGCGACGAGGCTCGGCTGGCCAAGGGAGAAAGAACAGCTCCGTGCACTCCACGCCCCGCGCAGGCTGCGTCGCCAACCGGCCTAGCCACGGTTGACCTGCCACGCTCCGCGCTTTGCAGCAGACTCCCGCCCAGGGATCCCAGGACACACATCCTTAGGAACCAGCCAGCATCCCGGCTGCTGACGAAGCCACCCTCCACGCCCACAGCCTCTGCCTGGTGCCCCACTCCTGCGGCGGATACGGGAAAAGGCGTTGCTCGGAGGAGTGCCCCCGTCAACCCCTGCGATGGCAAAGAGCTAGGTCTGCCCTAAGAACTCCCAGGTTCGCAACCTGTTTCCCCACCAGGTATTTTGCAGAAATACCATTTGGAACTTCCTACCTGAAACAGGACTCTCCCGAGAGGAGAGCTACCGACGCACCGGGGGGGTGTCAAGGCCAAAACTGCGCTTTGCTTACAGACACGTGGGGTTCCGCCCTGGTAACTGCCACGGGGGCTTCAGGCTTCAGGCTAGAAACCTTTTAAAAACTGCCCGAAAGCGGTGGATGAGGTAATCTGGAATGTTTAAACAGGTTTATTTACACAGTAGACCGCACTTCACTCAAAAAAACCCTGTTGGGGCGTCCGGTGTCGGTTCTCATTGCTTCCAAAATCCTCTTTTCCTCACACCCACAGGAATTCAGTTGTTCTTAGAAGATTAGGAAGCGCCAGACGAAGGCAATTTCGAGTCCACGCGCAAGCACCATCTCTCCCTCTGCCCGGTGTGCGACTGCTCCCTCGCAGCACGAGCTTACACCCGCTACTCCGGGGCTGCTGTGGCCTTACTCCCGGGAAAACCGACACAGCGTTCTCAGGGCTGGGACATCCATTTTCACCAAGTCCTTTAACGCTGCGTTTACCGGAACCGTCTCATTTCTGCGTCTCCTCCCGGGAAAGAAAAACTGCGGCTCAGAACCCCAGGCCGCTCTCCGGGGGTGCTCTGAGCAGAGCGGGCTGTTCCTCCCAGCTCACGCTGGGGCCTGTCGACAGCTTTTCTGTCTGCCCAGAGGGAACCGCAGGCCATGACTGCGCGGCGCAGCCAGGCTTCAGCTGTGTGTCCAGCCGAAGGGGTTTGCTCCGTCACAGACGAGGCGGGAGGAGGCGGGGGCTGCCCCTCAGCTGCGTCATTCCCGTTAAGCTTTTTGGACGTGCACTGCGATTTCTATCAAAGTTCCCGTTACTGTTGAAATTCAGCCTCTTGGAGAGAGATGTGCCTTAAAGATCACAGGTTGTCACACGCCGTGACACCCTCTGGGCCGGCGGTAAGAGACTACACCCTGACAGGAGGGAGCCCTGGAAGATGTGTGCACCTCCCGGCCGTCCAACCAAGCGCAGTTACGCTGAGGAGCACAAATGTTGCTCCTCCGGAAGAATTTCCACCTGCAGCTCTCAGCCTCAGCCAAGCTCATTTTCTAGCTAAGTGAATTATGTATAACAATATTTACATATTTAAAATATAGGCAAAATTCTTTTTTAAATTCAAGAAATATCTATACGAGTAAGTAACTCTCCGATTCGGTAAGTTCTTGATTTGGTCATGGCACAGTTTTAAACACGTTGTGTGATCCCAGGGACGAAGAGCTACCGTGCAGATGCCAAGTACGTTAGAGAGCAGGGAACTGCAGAACTCTGACCGCCCTTTTCTTAATAGTTTATTATCTTACCTAAATAAACCCTCCCCTTAGAGAATCCTAAACCGGTATTAGATAAAAATACAAATATGTACAACAGATGAAAAAAGTAACACTACTGCCAAGGCCTTAGGAATTTTGTAGCTCACACACTTGTCAACTTTGCATTTTCTAGAAAGCTAATATTTCAGTAAACTGTTACCACCGTTTGCCATTGTCTACCACATTCCGGGCTGCCCGTTGGTCATTAACGTGATCTTAATTACCACAGGATGAGATGGAGGGAATATGGCAGCAATCTCAAACTTTACATCAAGTATTAGTAATATTCACCAGCTTCGTGTCTACAGCCACCCCTGTCACTCAGTGGTCCCGCAAAGGTTCCGAACGTCCCCTCCCCCATACACGTTACATGTTATAGGCTACATAGATGGGGTCTAACTGATCAGCCAGGAAGCTGTCGCGGAGATGCATCCGTTGTTTCTCTCCTCTGGAATTGATAGGAATAACTCCAGGATCCACTACCACCACCACTCCCACAATTAGGTAATGTTCTTCCAGGACCACATTGGTAACCAGGGGAACTAAATCCAGGGCTTCCTGTTCGCAGCCGCACAACTCCACGACCACCACAAGCAAGTTGGTCCACGTGAACACGGCACTAGAAGTTAAGGAGAAGAAAACCCATCAGAACACCAGGTTATTGTCACAAAGATCCCAAGTTTACAATTCCTTCCCCTCAGGTAGAGTTTTCCACCTGCTTTGGGCTGCATTTCCAAGTGACCCAGCTCCAAAACCCAGTCCTGCCGTGTCAAAGACGGGTTCAAGCGTCACCTGGTGTGACACAGGACACAAACGCTGCTTTCGCCGCCTCAAACGTGGACGGTTCTTTACACCAGAGCAGGAACCCATCATTTCTGTCCTGAATTACGGCTCGGGAGAGAACACGGAGCCAGTCAGCCCCGTGTTATCCTGACGCAGAGTTGGGGAACGAGGGGCGTGACTTGCCCCATCCCTGGGAGTGTCCAAGGCCAGGCTGGATGAGGCTTGGAGCAACCTGGGCTATGGAAGGGGTCCCTGCCCGTGGCAGGGGGGTTGGAACTGGGTGATCTTTAAGGTCCCTTCCAGCCCAAACCATTCTGTGATTCTGACTTGTGATGGTAACAAAAACCTATCCCAGTTTGCCATGTGCTATGGGGATTTTTCGTATTAAATCCTGCATCCGTAAACACGGCTGCTCGTCAGCTAGGCTAGGATGAGCTCGTTTTTCATGGCTGCTTTACCACTCAGCAATGCTTCTGTGCGTTCGAGACACCGACGTCTCGATGTCAATCGGATGGTACCGCAGCCCCCGCAGTTCCAAGGTTTCATCCAGCGCTCCAACAACGTAGAGTGCATCGTGGCGCTCTAGAGGGGAGAGATGGGAGACGAAGCGTGGGCATGCCGCGAAACCAGGCCGAGAAACAGGGTTTAGATACAACAAAGCGTCCCTTGCGCCCGAACGCGTGGATCAGGACTTATTCACTGCACAGTACGAACGAAAACTCGTCTTCCTTTAGCCCATAAAGGCTGGTTTCTGCCGTACCTCCGCTGGCAGCCGTGAGCTCCGTCCGCCGGACAAACCCAAGGTATCCAGTGCGAGCCCAGAGGGTCTGAGCAGCGTCGCCGAAGCTCAGGCGAGTGTTGAAGTGGTCAGCTTGAAGGGTCTCGTTGTCGTAGATCGTGTAGTAGCCGCTGGCCGTGTGCGGACTGTTTACCCAGATCTGTACAGGAAGCGGAAACACAGTCAGATCCACGCGCTGCGAAACAGCACCTGTGGAGTATAAAAATGAAGCGGATACAAAAGGAACCTTCTTGTTACAATTTATCTAAGACTTTCCAGATCCACAAAGGGTTTTGCATTTAGCTCAAGCCTCCAAATATCCTGTAGAATCTTAAAAATGCATCTTGCAGCTCTGCTCCCCTAATGAACTGCAAGACAAGGGTTAACTCCGTGAATAAACTGGGGATTTTTACAGCATCCGAAGTCTGAAAATTCATAATAATTTAGCGATGCGGATCAAACACGCTGGTGTGCAATCAAGATAAGGAAAGCAAGATATAAATCAGATGATTGGGAAGCCGGTTATGCAAGATTAGAGTGGAATAAACCCTCCTCTCTAGCAGGCTTTCCTTCTGAACTCGCCAGCAACAGCTCAGCTCAAAAAGGCCTGGAAGTGTCACCCCTCACACACCATCACCAGCAGCCTACGTAACAGAGCAGAGAGAACGCAGCGCGAGGAGAAGCTGCCCAAATAGCGAAATCTGCGCTTACCTCCCCGAGATGAGAATCTCCAAGAGGCCCTTTCGTCTCAGGATTTACAATGACTACTTTGACTCCAGGCAAGATCTACAGACCACAGGAAGGAATATGTAATCCGGACAGGAATTATCTTGACGCACAATGAAAACACAGAGGCTGTTTGTTTCCCTCCAGAAAGGCAAGATTTCCCCCACAGAAACGACACCGGGGCACGTACTCTGCGCTAACGGTATGAAGGTACTTCCTGGCTCAGGAGCCACATGGGTGAGGGATCCTAGGCCTGCAAATCCTGCTAGACCTTGGAGGATTCGACGTTAAAAGCTAGCAGGGAAACAGCGTTTCCGTACTCCATTTAAAGGAGGGAACAAGAGTTACAGTAAGTCTCAAACATGCTGATTTCGAGGGTGCAACTGCAGATGCTTTTGATAGGGTTCATTTACCAGAAACAGAACTAATCCTCCCGACTGCTTCCGCAACGCTCCTGAATCAACACACGGTATTATACATCGAACTAACTCTCCAGAGGAAGCGCGTCCCCAACTGTCCCTTCTCTTGCCACGCCACAGGACTCCCTTTCCCAGCCACACCAGAAGGGGCGTGAAAAGCCAAGTGCGGTCGGCAGACGTTGTGCCACGTCCCGAGGGAGTAACGTGAAATTACCTTCCCAGACTCGGAAAGCAGCAGGCTCTGCGGAGCTCCCCTTTCCACCAGACGTACTCTGAGGGTAAAGAAACCATTGTCAGGGATAAAAAAAGAGCTGAATTCCACGGAGAGCTGCGGGAGCGCCGTGTCATTACAACACCCCATACAGTTATTAAATAGCCACTGTACCTGTCGTGTCTCAAGGATTTCAGATCTACGTACACCGTGGTGGGATCGGGTCCCGATGTTCCCTGAAGAGGCAACGTTTAAAGAGTGATGAAGGGATTTACAGAAACCAGGGTAACTTCTGCCTCAACTCATGCCTTCCCAGGGCTTTCTCCCTGGCAGCCAAATTCACATTGCCTCACCTTGGCAGCTGCACCAAGGGAAACACTCCAAAAGCAAAGAGGTGATTTTCTCTCTACACCACCAGCCGTGTGGGATGCAGCTTGGGGGAGGGGGGAGCTGCTACGGAGACCGCCCGAGCGCTCCCGCTACCAGCCCTGGGGCAACTAGTCGTCGTTTACTTGGAAATAAACAGTTCTCTAACGCCACGTTTCAGCTGTCTGGAGCATCTGTGATATAATCTGGCAGCTGAAACCAAGAGAAGCTGCTTCAGTCTCGTGCCAGCTGTTCTCTACGAAGCAGATGTCGGGCTTCGCTACCACCACAGACGCCGGCGCAGATCACCTGCCCAGTCAGAATACAACCGAACCGGGAATTCTGACGCCCCGGAACGCGCCTGCGTTACCTGTAAACAGATGGCGACGTTGACTCTCGACCCGAAGGTGGTGCTTACAGCACGAGAGGACAGGCCGATGTCTTTGAAGAGTTTGGAGAAGGAGTGAGTGAGAGAAACTCGCGGCCGTTCCTCTGCTACTACCACGCAAGTCCGGACACAGGAGAGATTAATTCCTCGTGCCTGGGAAGACACAACCGAGTGCAAAGGAGTGTACGTGTTCATTGCCCCTGCCAGGCTGCGCTGAGGCACCCCACAAGAAGTGACATTTGCTTTTTATCCCTGGAAACGCCTTGGGAAATGCAGGACAAACCCTGTTCTTGTCTTCATGTTATTTCCTCTTTTCAGCTTCTGGCTGTAATTCTAAAACGTGTCTGACCAGAGCCCAGAAACAGGGCTAGAACTAAGCATGTGCTAGGAGCGCTGCTTCCTCTGCTACGCAGCGTGGCATCACGTGCTTCTGCGGTGCTTTCCCGCTAAGACTACAGCTTACTCACTATTTACACAGACAGAAACCAGAGCAAGTGAGAGTAAAGCCATTTACTGGTATTACACAGGGTCTTCACCAAATCTTGGGACCGGAATCCATTGTTATTTCTGATCCTGAATGCAGGGAACAGCACCAGCCAGTGGTTCGAAGCTGTGCGTGATGCTGGTGACACCCCCCAAAGCAGACACCTTCAGAACCCTACGCCACCAACACAAGAGTGAGGCTTCAGCTCATCGATGGAGCACACTGGTTCAGTACACCCCATGCAAAAAGCCACCTCGAGTGTGTTTTTTCTCCCTCCTTTCACAGAATCATAGAATCATGGAATGGTTTGGGTTGGAAGGGACCTTAAAGATCACCCAGTTCCAACCCCCCTGCCATGGGCAGGGACACCTTCCATAGCCCAGGTTGCTCCAAGCCTCATCCAGACTGGCCTTGGACACTCCCAGGGATGGGGCATCCACAGCTTCTCTAGGCAACCTGTCCCAGTGTTTCCACCCTCTGCGGGAAGAATTCCTTCCTGATAGCTAATCTAAACCTCCCCACTTTCCATTTAAACCCGCCACCCCTTGTCCTGTCACTCCCTGCCCTTAGGAAAAGCCCTCCCAGCTTCCTTGCAGCCCCCCCAGGCACTGGAAGGGGTTCTGGGGTCTCCCCGGAGCTTCCCTTCTCCAGGCTGAACCCCCAACTCTCCCAGCCTGAGCCCACGGCAGAGGGGCTCCAGCCCTCGGAGCATCTCCGTGACCTCCTCTGGACTTGCTCCAACTGGTCTATATCCCTCTGATGTTGAGGGCCCCGGAGCTGATCCTTGGAGATGAGAACTCATCTCCAAGGAGAAAACACCTCTCTCCAGCAAACTGCCGACACGTGTGCTTCCATCGTGTGCCGGTCTGAGCCTCCGCTGCGCAGCGTTACGTAAGCAGTTCTGCACCGCTCTCTGCTGCTGGCATCCTCCCCTCAGGGTTTGCCCAGCAGCCTCCAACACTCGCTGGCAACCTGCTGCCTACGCCGCGACACACCTCCCCTACTCCTTTTCAACCCCTTCCGCTTCCCGGGGCTGCAAACACTTTCTCTTCGCTGCTGCTTTCTGCGCAAGCCATGGACTGGAGACTCGTGCTACAGGAACACTGTTGTGTTGAACAGTTGCCCAACGCTGCTCCACCACCACAGATCCCTCCCCTCAAGTAACGGAACATGCAGAGAACATTCCTTACCTTCAGCATTTCAACTTGGTTTCCAAGTCCCTTTGTGCACAGTTCCATGACTGAATAGGAACAGAAAGTGTCCCTTATTTTATACTGGCTGACAGTAGATAACCAGAGAAAAAGGTTGGATTCCAGCTCCATAGGAGGAATTAAAATTGACTGGTGTCCAGAATACACACTGCAAAGAAGGAAGAGAACACTGCGTGGCACGTAGTTACCTTTAAACGAGTATTTACTGTGATTTCAGGTTACACTGCTGCTAGACCGGGAGCAGGCTGTGGGACGCTGCATTGCCGGCAAGCCGGTAACAGCTCGGGATGACAGCGTTTGCAGTGGTAAATGCCCACCTCGTTTCAAAAACACAGCTCCCTGTACAAGAGTAACGATTTTACACACACCAAGGTGCACACACGCTGCGGGAGCGAAGGAACAGAACTGGCTCAGCAGTTTGCAGACCGCAAACTCCCTCGCGGCAACGTATAATCGAGGGGGAAAGGCAAGAGAGACATTCTGGAGCCAGCAATGTTTGGCAGCACAAATACGCGGGAGCAAGAGGGATAACATCGTGCTGATCTGCAGGAAAAGGGAACGTATTCTTGTCGGTGCAAAGACAAGTTCTCCCCCGGCTGTACATCGGCCTTTTTGGTCACGTCAACGTAATTTGGCTGTAACTGCACCAGGTGGAGACGTGGACTCGTGGCCATTTCACCTTTTGGGCCGGCCAAGAACTGACCTTTCCCCTGGGAAGTCTCACCTGCAGAGGCACCAGAGCACAAACCCGAGTCCACAATAGGGGTCGAGACAAATTGCAATCTGCCGAGAGGAGTAGAGCTCACACTGCAGCTTGATTGCCCTGCACAGGCCACTCACTGCTGCGTGGGACATCTGCAACAGAGGGGACAGACAGAGGAACCGTGCTGAAGTTCAAGGAAAAGGGCTCCAGCAAGACAAGGAGGTAAGAATAAAGATGGTTTGCCTCGGTAACACCGCTCCATAAACTATGCTGCTTCTTCCTTTATCCCCCATAGCGGAGGCAGAGCCTTGCAGAACCCCCTGAGCCACAGTAAACCAGGCACACCGACACCGAGATACTGCCGAAAAGCTTGAGGCTCCTCAGGCTCCAGCGCATCGTTCACGGCAGTTGGTGGCTTTCATGGTTCAGTGTCTTGCCCTCTTCTCTGACAACTGCATCTCTGTTCTGCCCTTGGGGGGAAGCAGCAGCTCGCAGCTACGTTACTCGCATCGCTCACGGCTCTCCGAAGGGGCAGCTCTCCAGTGGGAGGCAGCAGCAGAATTCCTGATCCCACTGCTGCTAACCCTAACCCTAACGAGCTCTCTTCCTACATCAGCACACAGCCACGCTGCGCTGTCTGCAGTGGATCCCCAGCTTTATGGGAAGGAAGGCACGGAATTCTTTCAGCTGCAAGAGCCAGCTCTGAGGGGAGAGGGGGTTCAGAGCATCAGCCAAAGACAAAACACCGAAACTCCCATCTTCCAGAACCACTTTACTGTACCTTTACTCCTGTGAGCATGCCTGTGGTGGAAACGCTAAAATCCAGATATGCTAACATTTCAGGCGTAGGTGGCTTATAGATCTGGGAGAGCCGCTTCCGGGGCAAGTCATCTGCGTGAGAAAGGAAGAAACGCGGTCGATGTTTGATTGCTGGGCTGGTATTTGAAAGGAGAACAGAACTTCCAGAAAGCCCGAGACGGATGGCAAAGCTTTCCATTATTTCTCTTTCTGCAAGAGACAGACTAGTGATATCCCAAAACCCCTACAGAGTTCCCATGCAGAACATTTACTCCCAGGACAAGGGAGAAGATGGACTCGCTCCCAGGGAAATGAACAGCTGCCTGCAACTTGGCTTTTCAGCAGAACTGCCTGCACGCACAGCTCAACACGTGCAGAAGAGGTGTCAGTAAAGGAGGGTCAGGCCTTGTCCTGACCTCACTCCGATCTTGGGTTGTTTTGCTAAATACCCAAACAAACTCTCAAAAGCCGTCCAGTCGGCAGGAAATGGGGGACAGTCCCGCAGCGGTAACCCCTACGGAGACCAGCAAAACGCCTTTCAGCCTGCGGATCGCACCTGTATCAATGATGGTTGGCCAGGTCTTCACATCTACAGCGGCAGCTGCCTCCCTGGACTTCAGGAGCCGCATTAAGGTCTGGGTTGTGAGAATACAGGCAGCTTTGCTGACCTGGAAAGATACACGCTTACTAAAAAAGACAGGCAGGTCCACGTCCCAGCGGCATCGTCATCGCAAGACGTTCAGAGTGTATTTTCCCATCTGTAGCCTGCTTCTCCTAACAAACCTGCAGTGATTTCTTTGCCTTTCAACGCTGCTCACCACTCTTCCTTCCCTGAACCCCCGAACACAGACTGAAATGCAAAACCCCACCCTTAGCGCGGGTGGCCCAGGCCACGTCTAGCTCTACCCCCGTGGCTGTAACGGGGAGGCAGCCGTTCCTGGTGACCAGGTTTGAAAAGAAACAGCAGGCTCTGCGCTTGCCCCGCAGTAAGGAGGGCGACGTGAAGTTCTGAGCGCTAACGTCACAGGAGTACCTCTCAGAAACCACCCGTTTCATCGCGACCTGTCTTGCCACAGAAGGAGAGGTGGTTCTCTCTTGCATCTCATGAACTAAAAGACTGTCCTTCAGTTACGAGATGTGCTTCAGTCACTGCTGTCACGGAAAGAGCGCGCGGTTCGGACAGCTGTGTCACCCTCTCGAGGCCGAAGCAAGAGCGCCCCGGCCACGCTCTCAGCTCCAGCCCCGATACTCACTTCCACGATCATTCGCACGGTGGGCAGAGTAGCAGTGAGGCTCTGAGCATGAGGTGGTCTCACGGTCACAGGGATGCAGCCAGCGTACAGACAGCCATAGAACGCAGTGATGAGCTCAATGCCTGCAAGGACACGACAGGCTGTAGCGTGGGGCGCTGGCATGGCAGACGGACACCCTGTTGACACCAGCCTCTCCCCCGAGTACTTCTCCGAGCATCCGTTACAACGTCCATTAGTACAGGCACTGGTCATTTCCACAGCACAGATGTGCAACATCAGCCGAACACCGCGGGCAGCACGAGAAAGCTTGGGAAAAGGGACTGGGAAAGGAGAAGACTGACTGCACAGAAAACCATATCCGTCCAGGAAAAGAAGGTCCCAAGTGTCAAATGACTCTGAAGTCAGTCAGGACAACGCGGAGTTGTCTGGCAGGGCAAGATGCACACGCACCAGAGCGCCTCTCGCTAGCAGTGAGCGGCATACGCACGCCAAGTGACAACGCTGTGCGCTACCGGCCACGGCAGGAGCAGGCAGCCGGCACTTCCCTCTCTTCCCAGCCTGCTGCTGGGCACAGACACCCAGCAGTCTCAGAGGAAGCCACGCTGCCATTTCTCTCAGCAAGCGACACGCTTTCCCTGGATGCAAAGCTGCCAACTGGCAAGGCCACTTCAGACAAACGAGATCTGCACAGACCAGGGGCTGAGGAGTCGCTGCAGGGTGACGGGCACAGCTCTCCAGCACACGCAGTGCGGTCACGAGTGTCTAATAGTGAGCCTATCACACCAGAGATCTTTGATAACCACCCAACTCTTTGAAGTTTTAATTCTAGACACCATGACACAGCAAGATCTAGCCAGGAGTGAGAACACAGACTGCCTTATCCAAAACCCTAGAGAATCGAAGTCCCAGCCCCGGTACCGCAAGACATCAGGACAGCCCCCTCCGGAACCGAATCCGTACCAGTGTGTCACGCGGTCCCAAGGGCACTGCTCTTTGAAAGACCTCTCCTATGCTTCCAGATCCGGATGAGGTTCCAGACAGACCACGCTGCGTTTCCACAGCGGGATGCAGTCGCTACTGAAACTTGCTTACCGGGAGGATAGAGCAGCACCACGTTGTCCCCCGCATTGAGATGTCCTTTGTCACACAGGACTGATGCAATTCTCTCCGCTTTTTTGTGCAACTGAAGGCAGGTGGCTGTGCACACAGTGGTTCCCTTGAAAGGAGACAAAAACACTCTAAACCAGGCCTGGCACCACACATGTGCCAGTAAAACAGCTGCTGGAAAAGAAAACCACCCAAAACACCCCAAATTTGCTTGCTAGCCTCAGTCTAGAGCTGCGAGTTCTCTACTCCCACAGGCTGGTGGCACTCAACGAGCCCCTCATCCGCCGCAACACCGAAACGCTAGAGATGGGGATAGATCTGCGCTAGAAAATTCCACCGTCGGGGAGTCAGCTGAGCTCTTCTTGCACCAGAACCTTGCCAGAGCACACTCAACAGGGGCATGCCATCAAACGACACAGGAACCAGCGGGAGCTACAAACACGCCCAGTTTTAAAGCGAAGCATCGAACCACCACTGGAACTCAGGTGAAACAGGTTCGGAAGTGCCAAACCCACGGGCAAAATCCGATACAGGGACCAAACAGAGGGCACTGGAGCGGGCAAAAGGTTTGAAACCCAGTCTCAGGCTTGCACCGAGGAACACGCTGCGGACTCTGAAACACCAACAACCCCGCACTGGGTGCGGGGCGGGTGGTCAGGAGTCGCTTGAGCCCTCCACTGCAATACCTCTGTCAGGAACTGGTGCTGGAACACAGAGGCAGTAATTAAATACTGGCCCTTCTGCTTCAGAGGCAGCACTCAGCGCTTCACGCTGCTGCTCTGCATCCAGCTGCAGGGTAAATTCCTCCCCCCTCTCCAGCTGTAAGAAACACTGATTTACCTTTTTGCGGGTGGTCAGGAGTCGCTTGAGCCCTCCACTGCAATACCTCTGTCAGGAACTGGTGCTGGAACACAGAGGCAGTAATTAAATACTGGCCCTTCTGCTTCAGAGGCAGCACTCAGCGCTTCACGCTGCTGCTCTGCATCCAGCTGCAGGGTAAATTCCTCCCCCCTCTCCAGCTGTAAGAAACACTGATTTACCTTTTTAACTAAATCATTGTCTTCTATTTGACCAAGATCTCTGCCAGAGGCTTGAGCAATACGCTTCCCAGCAACCAGGTTCCCCACCATCACAGAGGCAGGGCCAACGCCTGTAAACAGAGAACAGCCGCATGAAATACGGACTTTTCATGCCAGTGGGAAGGAGCTGGCCTGGAACGGCAACCTGCCCGAGAGCAAGGGTACGATTCCCTGGAGGACCCACTGCTCCTGGACATGGATGTTAAAACGAGAGGTAATGAAACCCCACTGACAGGGTTCAGAAGGCACTGCTAGTCTCCTGTTCATCAGGAGAGAGAATCCCAGGGAGTTCAAAAGCAGGAATCAAAATTCCTGACTGACCCATGCAAAGGGAGGCCTCAAGCACACCCCAGCCACAGGCCACAGGGCAAGTTCTGGTCCCCAGCAAGTCGGACACTCGGTGTCAGTCAGCGCAGAGCTTCCCAGGTCTGAGATCGTGAACTCAAAACAAAAGGGGCTCCTGTTACCTGGTTGTTTTTGCCTGGGTTTTGGCAAGTTCGTCACACACGTGTGTGGGCACATGAGGATGTTGCAGGGATGCAGAGAGCCCTCCAGAAAGTGCTGTTTAGTTTGAGAGATATGGATCCCTCCCAACGGGGTTTTTGGCAACGTGTTGGCTGGCACCAGGGCGAGGCAATATACACCCACTTGGTGAATGCTGTCGATCGCCTGGAGAAAGGAAAGGTGGTCACTGGAATTGCAGGCACTGCTGGACACAGGCTGACAAATCCCTGCAGTTACAAGGTACTAAAGGAGCAAGTCAGTCACTATCGTTCCATCGCATCTCTGTAATCTCACCCAGCCCTACGTAGGAGTTAAGTGCTTGTTAGCATCCCTGCCTTTATAGTCCATTTCACATACAAGACATCCATTTTTAAATCTTTCATGACCAAAATCCCAAAATATACACAGTTGCTTGATGAATCATATGATTTTGATCTTGGGATGTTATCCATCTGTCTCCTCAGAACCATCACACTCTGTTCCTTTTTGTCCGCCTCAGCTTTCAGGCATCTAATGCATTATTCAGACCACCAGGCACTTCTCTAGTTCTTCTCCCCAGTTTGCATACTCGCTAACCCGAGACACCGTTCCCAGGAACGCCCTCCATGCAATGCAGGCAGGTCTCACGGGAAGCACCTGCTACTCGAACTCCTTCCTTACAACGACGCTCATCAGCTGCTTTAACCCTTCTCGGCTGAGAAGGCATCCCCCAGGAGAAGGGTGTCCTTAAAGGGTAACTTCGAGCACCAGCATGATCCAGGACCAGCAGAACTCCTAAGCTGGAGCGCTGGATCTGCTCTGCGGTGCCGGGGCGTTCTCTACACACTCGTCTTGCTGGCGTAACGCTGCCCACTCGGTCAGAGCCTACGCTATTCGGTGCTGCAGCCGCTTTTCCCAGGACCCTCAGGATGTAACAGAACAGCTTGTGCGCAGCAGATGTACCCAGCTTGTGAGCCGGGGAGAATACCTTGTGCCAAGAGGGCTCGTGAGCCTGTGCTCTTTCCATCTGGGACAAGCCGATGGCTCCGATTTGCCCACACGCAGCAAAACTGCACAGGCTCACCTCGTTCCCCTGCGGACACGGACTTACCTGCAGCACTCGGCTCATCCACTGGAAGCTGTCCTCTTCAGACGCATCTGGCCTCTGCTCGGCAACCACCACGATCCTCTCGTCGTAGAAGACGGACACTGAGAACACAGCAATCCTAAGGAAAAGGGGAGAGCCACATTGGCACGAATTCCCGTTGAACTTCTTGGGAATGGGAAGCCAAGGAAACAGACTGAAACAGAACTCGTAAAGAAACCAAAGCCCATGGGGGGCACAGATGGAGAAAAACCATCAGACAACTAAAACTGAGGCAAAAAGGAGCTACTTGGTGGAGTCTAAGGGGTTAATTCCACCTCCGGATGAAATTTCTACGTAGCACAGTCCCATCCTCTCAACACTTCCGTTCCAACCTGTGGCCAATCCCCAGCACCCTAAAAGCTTTGGAAGTAGCTACACGACACGGGGCGGGTAAAACCGCCTGGTCAGTCTTAGAGCCACGAGCTCCAACCCTGCCTGAGCATCTAGAGAACTATACCCGCAGTTCTGGTAAAACAGCATCTTCGGACATGAACGAAAGCCCTCCTTCCCTCAGAGCGTCAGCGCGCAGCTAAGCGCTACGGAGACCGAAGAGGGAATTCTACACGGGCAGAGAAAGGAGTTCTCCTCACCCTACTCCCTCCCCTGAAGTACATAGGCCTGGGGAAAAGCCAGGCAGAAGAACGGGGAAAACAGGCCTGTGTCGGGCAGGATCAGGGCAATTACTGCCTAAAGCAAAACCATATTTACTTTATCTGAGCTCCTCAAACACACCAGCTGCTGGAGAGAAGTCAAAGACCACAGTAAAGATCCGGTTTCCTTACGTTAAGCTTACGGGGAGGGGCAAGGTTTACTTTGCTAACCTTCCTCTGTAAACTGTTTTTATTGCCTCTACTGCCAATCCGGTCGCTACGATGTCGTCGGCGTTATGTCTGCGTCCGCTGACCGTCAGCAATCCATCCATTTTTCCAACCACAAACACCAAACTGCCCTGGAAGACAGGAAAGTGTTGGTAAGTAACTCGGATAAAGCAGGTATCCAACGTCTGCTGACCGTAACGGTGGCTAGATGGTACTAAGGTTTGTATAAACCACGTTCTCTTCCTCTTGAAATCGCATCTTTTGTGCCTAAACCAGAGGCCTGCGAGCGGCTCAGTGAGCCAAGGCCTGCGGCGCGCAGAGCGGGACTGCCCTCCAACAGCTGCGTGTGCTCGGCTGGAGAAGGATCAGCAATCCGAAACCGCAGCAAGCGACACAGCGAGGCACTGTGACACAACGCGCTGCATTCCGGCTGGCTCGGGCCGACCCGTCAGCCCTCGGCCACGGCACCCCCCGCGAGCTGCCCTCGCACGCC